ATTATATAAAAACACGTGCGTATTCGAATGCAGCGTTGTGTCAAAATTTCAAAGGAATCGGTAGGAACAAACGAACATTACATTTTTATTTATATAGATAGATAGAAGATGATCCGCTTTAGTTCATTTTCACAGAAAAGCATAATGCCTCACAGAAAAGCAAACTTAGGGCGTCGTACTCGTAGCGCTATCTGTTGGACATAAAAGCCTTAACCTAGATTATATATTTTAACTTATATGAATGTTTAACGGAATATACAGCCTATGTCCACCCTGAGGTTCCATTCTAAATATTGGTGAAAGAATTTTTGAAATCAGATGAGTAGTTTCAGAGATTACCTGCTGCAAACAAACTTACATACATTACCTCTTTATAATATTAGTATAGATTAAGATTAGGCATTTTCAGTGCTGTACAATTTTGTATTTGAATTTGGCATGAAAAAAAAGAAAGAAAATGTCATTAGTTAAGTTATAGACTCCCTAAATAATTCCAGAATTTGCACCAAAATACCCAGCATCATTTTAGCTCTCTCAGTTTCAGCATTACTTTATATCAACTAATAAAACAATCACAGCACTCAAATTTTTGATGAGGATTCAAAAGGGAGCCACAAATTACAACCATAGTGTTGCCTGATTGGGCAAAAAGTAGAAAATTGGACTGAACTAATAAATAAGAAGCTGCTTTTGCTACTAAATTTTTGTGTTGGATTATTTACAAATTTTAGTGCTATTAAAAATACTTTTTAAAACTACAAACATTATAACTTTATTGTTTTTATAATGCATTGAATGAAAAAATTTAACATTTAAATAGTAAATTTTGCAAATAGCAGTTAAAAGTCATAAAATATAATTCATTTTTGAGTGTAAATTATGAAAGCTCAAGTGATGAAACTGAGTATTTTGGTAACAATGTAAATATTTTTTTGGAATTATTTTTAGTAAATAAAAAGCATACAACATAAAAAGTTGTACACTTTGTAATGAAAGAGTTGAAAAAATTTAATTGTACATGAAACTGTCATAATAGTTTATTGTTACTGAATTAATAATGAGTGACTTAGGAGACAACCATCATATTTACACCCATTTGTCCCCTTATTAAAATTTATTTCATCATTTTGTTTTTTTTTTTTT